TAAAAATATAATTTCTAATTATTATTTATATGCTATATAAAAACGTTATATAAATTTATATATGTACAGGGATAGTTAAAAGTTAATTACTATATGAATAGATAAAGCTGAGATAAATAAGTAAAATTTTTATCAGAAAAAATTCTCTCTTAAAATTTTGTTATTAAAATGGCTCACTAAGCCTACGTATGTTCGGGCTAAGTCCTCGTGAATGCGACCTAGTCCACCAAGTAGACTACCCTTCATCGAACCATCATCCCACCCCAAGGGGCGTCGTTCCAACTATTAAGACAAGTCTCAATTAGGTGACTCTCCGCCATCCTGGGCACCTAGATCAAAAACCACCCCCATCTCCTAATAGCTTGTGGAAAGGAAAATTTGATCTAAATCAATCAAACATTAGTACGTTATATATATAGGATAATTTGGGAAAGAGGAGGACATGAAAACAAGTTCAGTGAGAAACCCAATGCGCGGAGTAACCCTTACTCTACTCAAGACTTTTCAATCAATCAAACATTAGTTAAATAACCTTAAAAAGAGTTTAAAATAAGAGATTACCTAATTAGGGTGCAAGTAAGTGAGTAATTAATAGAGAATCAAAATGCATTTAATGTAGTATCTTTATTTAAATTTTTTAAGAGCTTTAATGATAGGATTTTAACTTTTTTATTGGGACATTTATACCCTTCTCTCCCATAATCTCTTCTTATATCTCTTCCACTTCTCACTCTTTGAAGTCTGGTAAAAATATTTTCAGATCAAACAAACACCAATTCCAAACAATTCCTCTCTCAGTCATTGTTGCATCCTCTGGAAAGATTTTCCATCTAGGTATTAACAATCCAAAACCCAAAGATTGTCTTCATCATCCTCATCGCTGAAGCTTGCAATGGCAAGGAGGGAGGAAAGGGATGTGAGACGCAGAGAGGGAAGCGGAAAGGTAAAGGAGAGAGAGGATTTAAACATTTTAGGGCACTGTTACGAGGGGTATAAACGTCTCAATAGAAAATTTTTAATTTTTTCATTAAAGTTCTTAAAAAATTTAAATAAAAATACCATATTAAATGCATTTTGATTCTCATTGATTGCTCACTAGCCTGTGCTCTTTTAGACAATCCCTAAAATAAAACTAAATAAAACTAAAGAAAATAAACTAACTAAACACAAAGAAATAAAAGAAACATAAATTTAAATAACTATCAATCCAATCATTGTAGATTCCGTTCAAACTCCATAATCAGTGTAAATTTCGACATTGAAGGTAGCACATGTTGTTTTACTTGTTGAACAACCAACAGCCCACAAGAGAGAAAAACATAATTCAAGGACTGAATTGCCAACCCTACTAAATAGGGAGTATGCATGACAAATACCCCACTTTGCATCTTCCTCTTAAAACCAAAAACACACTGGTCGATAAATTCTTGATTTTAGGAGTTATTTAATGATTAATTTTTCATATATTGTGATTTAGATGTTATTTCATTGAAAACAATATTTTTTTTTTTTTTGAAAAGCAAAATAATATTTATTGCTACGGAGTACAAGGGGTACCCCAAACCCGTAACCATCTCAGTTTGTAATAACAATATTATGTGGTATTGTAATTTTGTAATTATGATGTTTTTTATATGATTAATTCTTTTTAGATCAATTTAAGACATCAAGTTAACATCAATCATTGATACTATATGTATTTACTTATGTAATAACATATTATTAATGTAACAATTTTGTGTGGTATTTCACCTATTTCATTACCACTAACGACATGAGATATTGACACTATTAGCTCACAATTAGAGATACAAAACAAATAGAAATTTAATTCCAACTTTTTTTTTATCAAATTTAACCACTATACAAATTTAGCAAATTTGTGAATAAAATTAAAAAATTCTAATTCGTTAACGGTTTGGTATAAAAAGCTATCTTAAGTTGCTTTTTCAATCCACTAACAATTTGGATCCTAACTGTTATCTGTTAATCTTAAATCGCTAAATAAAAAGTTTTACCAAACACTTAATTAATAGTGGTTTCGAAATAAATAAGTTTACCAAACATCTATTTTTAGCAGTTTGTGCGAAAATTGCTAACCGCTAACCGCTACCTCCAAACTATTATACCAAACGGGTCCTAAGTTAAAGAATTGTCTCCCATCTACTCCTTTTCCACTCAAACCATACCTTTAGAGCCTATTTGGTTAGAGGGTGATTTTATTAGAAAATTTTTTACTAGGAAAGTGGTTAGGAATGTATTCTATAGAAATTTGTTAAGTTTTGTTGGAATTTTATCAAATTATTAATTTTATTGTGTTTGATAAGAAATTAATATAAAGAAAGTTAGTAGAAAAAAATGTTTAGTGAATCTAATATAAAGAAAGTTATAGGAAAGCTTTTTTCTTCCCAAACATGTGAGAAAAAAACTTTATAAATTATGAATTGTGCTAGAAAAAATAAATACTCTAAATGTCACTTTTACTTTTTTTGTTTTAGCATTAATAAATGAAAATACATAAATAATCTTTTTTTATTTTAATATTAATGTATAAAAATACATAAATAATCCTATAAAAAAAATTTTAAAAAGTTATACGTGCGAAGTTGGTCTCTAACCAAACATTCCCTTAGAATCTAATTTTAGCTTTTCCGTAAAATGAAAATTCTCGTCAAAATTAAAGCTAGGTTAATTAAACAAACATTTAGGGTATTTAAATTAATTGTTTGAAACTGTTAATAATTAATGAATTATTATTATTATTATTTATAATTTAAAATATTTAATTTATTTGATTAGAATTAAAAGTTGGTAGTTGTTTTTGACACACAAACTAAACACACTCCTAACTTCAAATATCTGAACCAAATTGAAGAGAAAGGGAATGGAGATCAATTACAAGCTGGATTTCTAATTTGTATATTATTATTGAACTCAAAGCCTTTTTATTATTAATCCTAACATTTTAATCATAAAAATATCTTGATTTTCATTCATGTCTCACTTTATATGTTCAGAAAAATAAAGGAATATAAAATTATATCCTTTTATTTCCCTTTATTTCTACTCCCTTCTTTTTTTATATCCTTCCATACCTCATTCTCTTTCAATTTTTTAAAAACTAAATAAATTTTTTTTATTATCTTTATTTTTCTTAATCCAAATATATTATTAATCTTTTTTCAGACAAAACAAATTTTAAATATTTTTTCATATAAATTATTACGATTCTAATTGATAAACACTGCTCTATATATATTTGAGAAAGATACAGAATATACAATCGGAAACCACCTCTGCAATTTTCAAGAAAAAATAAAACATCCGATTTTACACAACGGTAGTGTTTTCTTCTTCTTCCTTTTTTTTTTTTAAAGAGACAAATTAAACAGTTTAGTTATCAATTTAACCTTCCCACCCAGGACTAATTTTTACGACTTACGACTCCGTTCATTTTCTCTTCTTCAGATTCGGAGCACGTTTGCCAAAAGCACCACAAAAGCCGCAGGCCGAGACCTTAGGAGACGGCGGGTCCTCCGTGGGTGTTGTCGGTGTTGACGCCTTGAGTTTTGGCGTCGGAGGGGAGCGTCCTCCTCTTGATCCCATTCCTTCCGATCGGCTCCGTCGCATCACGGCTTCCGATCTTACCGTTTCATTGTTGCCTTCCTTATTGACCTTCACCTTGTTCAATTCTCCCGACAGAAACCTATCATCCCATACTAACCCGGACGAGCCTTGCCTCCTAAAGGACGTCGTCGACCTTTGCAAAGCGGTCATCACCTCCTCTCTCAATATAGATTATATTGAATTTCTTTTGGTTGACTCGTGTAATCACTGTAATCGTGTTTCTAAAATTCAACCTCTTTGGAAACACAAACTTTTCTTTTGTGAAATTAGAAGAAGGAATTTTATAGAGAAAATGGGTTATGAATTTTTTTTTTTGACAGGTTTTGGAGATAACAAAATAGAGAAGTGTTTGGTAGTAGGTTGAGGGATGTGTCCAACAAGATTGTGTATGTGATATAAAAGAGGAGAAGAGTGGAGAAAACAAAAGAGGGCATATCAGGGAAATTCATAAAATGGAATCCAACATGGTTAATTTGGTTTGGCGAAACATTCTAAAAACAGCTAAACCAAAAGGGAAAAAATATTCAAAAAGCAGGACCGGACGAGACCTAACTTATTTCTACATCGTTCAGAACTTTTAGATGTTGGATTTTGGTTATGAAACTATAAAAGAGGTTAGATTTTGGGTTTGAGGTACAAGTAATTTTTGGTGAATATCATTTAGTTTGGACGCGAATCAACTGTCTTTTACCAAATATAATTGCAAATTTAAAAATAGATACTCCTACATTTTATCCTAATTCACAAAGCTAAATTAAGATGTTAAGCAAAAAGAACTGGAATGAAAATGAAAATCCCATTCTAGCCTTTCTGCTAGAGACTGGTTCTAAATTTGACTTTAGGATAAAAAAATAATAGAATTGATACAGTATAATTTGACTTTAGAATTTCACCGCCCGTCGTATAAATTATTATTAAATTTCACCGGCCTTCGTCATGTTACGATAACATTATTATCTTTTTTCGGCCGAAAAGATAACATTGTTATTAAAAAAAAAATTTAGTTTCGTCAATAATGTAAATAGCTTAATAATAATTTTTTTTATTAAAAATAATAAATTTTAAATTTGAATCTTATAATATATGATAAAGTGAAGTAAAAAATATGAAAAAAAATTATCTTTTATTATGCAACAAAAAAAATTTTCAATTTCCTTAAAAAAAAAAGAGATTATTGAAAGAAAAACGAAGTCAAAAAACTTGGTGAAAGTTGTCTCAACAGATTTACTTGCATTTTTTAGAATTAAAAACCTGTGGTCTGTGAGATTTACTGGCTTTTTTTACAAAATATATATTAAAATTACAATATTACATGATATTTTAAATTGATAATATAATATATTATTATAAATTAATTTTTTAATTTAAAAATTTACATAAAATATTATATATATCTATTTATATAATATTATATTATAATTATTTAATATCATGCAATGATTGTAAATAAGAGTAGAGGGAGGGGTTGTGGTAACTTTTGAAAATTTACAAAATTAGTACACATTTTTTTCCCTTTAAAACTTTTAAATACTATATTTTTCAAGTTAAAATTCAAGATATTATCATTTAATTCTTCATAATCTTTCATTTTTAACAACTCAAAACTAATACAATTTAAAAGGCTTTAATTATAACCATCATCTTAAATATGAAAAAAAATATTACGACTTAATTAAATATTTTACAAAACAGAAAAATATTTTAATCTAAATAAATGAATTTCCTGCATATTGAATAACTTAGGAATTGAGACTCTTAATTAAAACAAACTCAAAAGTTGTCTTCCTTTGAGTTTTTGAATTGTTTTAGATTCTATTTTTTAATTTTTGTTCTTTATTTTTAAAAATGATTTGATTAACAAAAACTTTAGTTGATAAATGTTTGTGTTTTCATTTAGCTAATGGTTTCAATTTATAAGTATTGAATTACAGGCTCTCACTTTCATATTGTTTAATACGTTGGGATGGCAAAAAATAACTTTTAATAAACAAATCAATAAAAAAAAAGACAAACATCATGGGTTAAAAAGAGTAAGATTTTAAAATTATTTGAATTAATTGATCCATTGTTTAAGCATTATCATGGGGAGGCTTTATTTCTTATTTTAATAAAATGATTTATTTAATAAAAAAGAACACTAGTTGGTATACACTTCAGTTTAACACACTATATAATATATTTATTAAAAAATCACTATTTTCTAATATAAAGTTAAAGTTAGACAAATTTAGAAATACAACCATATATAAAGGATATAGAAACAAATTGAATTAACTATATTTATATTATATTTTAATAGTTGAATTAAAATGAATATTATAAAGTGTGTTAAATCAAATATGTACTAATTATTTTCTAATAAAAAAATTATTAAAAATATGGGATGAAGAAAATATAATTTCTTAATTTTATTAAGATTCTAAGAAAATATCGATGAAAAAAAAATCAAAATTAAAATTTTTTAAAAAAATAAACTAGTATAATAAAAGATATTTAAGACTCAAATCATCTTGAAGTTCACCCCTCTCAATTTTTTTTCTCCACACTGATTGTAGATTTACAATTTTACATAAAATTATAATTATAATATTATTATTTTTAAATTAAAAATGTTAAATGTCATTTTTAGTACTTAAACTTTTAATTTTGAACTTTTTTTTATTCTTTAACTATTTTTGTACTTTATTTATCCTTAAATTATGAAAAATATACTTTTTTTGTCTTTTCACTACTTAGTCTATTAAATTTGTTTATATATACATATTTTCAATTCTAAATTTATAAATTTAATTACTAAAAATGTGCATATATTATAAGTGCCTAAACCCCTCTTCTTTTTTTTTTTCTCAAGGAAAACTCAAAATAAGATAAAAAAAAAAATTTCATGTTCCTTATTTCTATTTTGTAGAGCTCGATGGACCTTCCACAGTAGGATTGATATCAAAGACCAAGAGATTAGATTAAACTCATGTTTGAGGATATTGATAAGTCTAATCTAAAATCATAATTTTTATTGGTGATGTTCATCAAAAGGAAGATTTGGGTGGGTTTGTTTCCATGACAGAGAAATTGATGGCAATAGTGTTTAACTTAGCTAAGGTTAATTAATGGTGGTGATGATGAATAAGCTTGCATACATGGACAGTGACTTAGGAAGAATGAGATTTGTTTTTTCTTATATTTTCCTCCTATCTTTAATTTAAGATATTATTTAGGGTGTGGGCTCTACTTTTTTAGTTCAAAATTTATTTCATTTTATTTAAATTCATTTTTATAGTTATGGACCCTACAAATCAGTGAGAAGTGTGTGAAATGCCAAATCAGCACTACCTATGACATGATATGTTAATCGGGGGGCTTGACGGATAGTTGGACGGCATCATGACGTCCGTCGAGATAGGGACCGTTGTTGGCCTTTGCACCAAAGTTTAAGAATTTTTATGAAAATTTTAAAGTATGGGGGATGACAATGAACTTTTATAACAAGTTGAGGGATTTTTAAATAACCTTAATCCTATATGGGAACTAAATTTGCATCCATGTCAACAACATGGAAGGGTTTTCTAGGGAGAAAAGACTTTTTTTTCCTTTTAATGAAGTGAGAAAAGAGTTTCAAAATGGAAAAATAAAAAAATAAAAATCAAAGTTCAATACAGCAGACAATTGGGTGGCTGATATTACCAAAAACACATGAGATATTCTTCCGTATCATGGAAATTTTATTATTATATTATAAAAATTGTTAAGGTATTTAATAAAATTTAAATAAATATTTAATTTTTTTTAAATTATTAAATAAATTTTAAAGTTTTTTAAATAAATCTTAAATAAATATTGAATGAATTTTTTAAAATATAAATTTAATTATATTTTTAATAATAATATTTCTTTTTAATGCAATTATACTTCAATTATATTTTAAAAGTAAAACTTAATTATAAATACTTAATGAATCTTTTAAAGTCTTTAAAAATCTCTAATAAATTTTCAATCAATACTCAAAGGTCTTTTAAAATCTTTAATAAATATAAAAACTTAAATGATCTAATATTCCAACTCAAATAGTAACTATGGAAATTGAGGAACCAAGTATGGAGCATAAAAAACAAATATTTCAAATATTTTAAACGTAAATATGGGCTTTTAAATCTGGGTGGGGTTATTGATATATCTTAAATAATTAATATTATATTCTTTTAATATAATTGTTTATTATATCTTTATATCACATTTTTTTTAATTTTATATTTTTTGTTTTTAATAAATTAAAAGATATAATAGTTAATTAAAATAAAAAAATATAGCATTAGGGTGTAGCAATAATATTACCCTTTAAATCCATTATTCTATTATTTTTAATAAATATAATTAATTAATATAACAATAGCAATTATATAAAACTCAACCTTACATCTGCATTAGCATAATGGAGCATTATCATTAATCATTAGTTTGGATTAAAAAATATTTATTTTTATATTTTTAATAATAATTTATTTTTAATTTTATAATTTTACTTCAACTACTTCAATTATTTCAATTGTATTTTAATCCAATTAATAAGAGATTAACTGAGTTGACATCCACTAATTTAAAAATTTTTATTCATGGTCAAAATCAAGAGACTTAAACCTTTATACTACCAAACAACTAATTTCTTTAGGTACCAAAAAAATTATATTTTAATCTAAATTCAATTATATTTTTAATAATAATCTTTTCATATACATTTTCAATAATAATCTTTTCATATACATTTTCAATTTGATATCTTATAATAATTAAAAAAATTACTAAAATCTACAATAAATCTCAAATAAATATCAAATGTGCATTTTAAAATTCTCAATAAAATCCTCAATAAATCACTTTAAAATCCTAAATAAATATCCAATGAATCTTCTAAAATATTTAGTAAATCTCCATAAAATCTTAAATAAATGCCTAATAAATCTCTTAAATAAAACTTACTAAAAATGTTGAAGCACAATTAACTCCACTTATATGGAATTAACTTCAATTTATAAATTTATATCCAACAACTCATAATCTAAACACAATTTATTATAAAAAAAATCTAATGATAATAACAATAAAGTAGGATTCATTGACATACAAGTTTTATATATTATATTTACATAAAATTTTAACTATTTATCTCTTTTCTTTCAATGATTAAAATTTATTACAATTTTTTATATAAAAAAATAATTATTTTTAATAAATATGATAAAAAATAAATATATTTCAACCATTGAAATTAGAGAGATATATAATTGAAATTTTATGTCAGTATGATATATAAAATTTATATGTAAATGAATTTCTACTCATGATAAAAATATAGAAACACAACTTTATAGTTTTATATAGA